CCTTTGTAGCACACTGAAGAACATACACGCACACATACATGCACACACACACACACACACACACACACACACTCTCTCTCTCTCTCTCTCTCTCTCTCTCTCTCTCTTTCTCTCTCTCCTCTCTCTGAGGGTAAACCCTTGGAGTAGATCTAGATCTAAGCATCATAGCGGTATACTTGTACGCTAAAAAGATCAAATTAATATAACTCAACGGATCTAAGTAAATTATAGTACATGTAAATGTAAAATGCGAAATGAATCATGCGAAACCGGAAGTTATGATTTTTGTTTACAAACATGGTGGACTGTGGTACGGACTTGCCACTAATGAGTTGATGTATTGTCTCAATGGGACTCATTCTGTATTGTATTTATTTGAGAAATGGATAGCTGTAATGGAGTATAAAAAGAGGCATATATTTATGCATAGTATTGATAAGGAAAAGAAAAAATGAAGCATCAACAACAGTTAGGCCTATTGTGCAGGTACAGGTAGTGGTAGTGGCTGCGCAACGAGAGTGTCGACAGTCTGGAACAATGAGTGGACCCGAACTGCTGGAGGCATCAGCGCCTGGTTACTCCCGGCGTTTTCTCCAGAGTATGGCGCTTATGTGGAGAGAATCGTCTTTCTGTGACATAACTCTTGTTATTGGCAGACGGCGATTCCAGGCACACAAGACAGTACTTGCTGCTGCTAGCCCTTTCTTTAAAGCTATGTTTTCTTCAGGCATGGAAGAACAAAGCCGGGATGAAATTGAACTTCATGAAATGTCAACAGATGTATTTCATGAAATAATTTCCTTCATTTACACTGGTATGCAAATCGAAAGTTTGACAAATTGATTTGATTTGATTTCACCTGGTCAAAGATAAATAAAGCAGAATTTTTGTAGAATAATATAAAGTAATAAAGTATAAAGTCTGCTTCTATTTCCAATTTATTATATATATCTATGGCTATGGCCACCTTATTTTTCATCCCTTTTGAGAATAGCTCATGACCCGCTAGGCCCTATTCTCACCCTCACCCCAGTGTGAGCATGAGGAGAGCCTTAGTGTTCTTAAAATAAGGCTAGATCTAGATCTATAATTGTGAGGAACTGTACGTCAGCTGTGTTAGAAGTTCTGCTCTTGACATTTCATCCTTTCATAACCCTAGATCTAGACTAGATTTCTAGATGTAGTCTAGATCTAGATCTAGATTCTAGATCTAATATATCTAGATTTAGATTGTTTTGTTTTGTGGGTTTTTTTTTCACTATTTTTTCTGTTCATGGTGTGAAATGGCCTTCACCCAGCCCATTAAATAAACTTAAACTTGAAACTTATCTCTACAACTTTTAGTGCTGTTCTGTGTGTGTCTGTGCTTCTGTATGTCTGAGGGGGGTGATAATAGCGAGACATAGGGCCATAGGGAAGCCTGAACTGCAACAGGGATTTGCTGCTTTTTCTTTTCTAATCCTTACTATCATTTCCTCTACTTCTTTCGTATGTTTGTCACACTCTTGTAACCAGCTGTTTCCGGGGTGTCTGGAAAGTCGAAGCAGACTTTGTACTGTTGAAGCTAGAGAGGTGAGCAGAGTAAGTCTGATTCCCTGTAAGGACTTCTCTGTTGACATCCACGTCTTGGCGCTCATATGACTTTATGCAGTTCCGAGCGCCGTAAAACCTCTACTAAAACAAAATATATATGTTTTCCAGGCAACATTTTCTTCGAATTAAGGAAAACTGTTGCTAAGTTGTCTTTCTCATGCCTCTTTTGGCACAATTTGATACGATCCTCTTGTCTATATACTCGTAAATGTAATTAATTATCCCCGAAAAAACGCTCTAATTTAATTCACAACAATAAACTTGCATAACTTTTGAACCGTTTATCCAATCTTCATGCTGTTTTTAAGAAAAAATTTTCTCAGCTCTTTTAGCTCTACCTAGTGACGTGTATCTTGGTGTAATTAATGGTTTTCAAATTTTTTCATGAAACCCTCTATTTACTGTTCAGCCATCTTTATTAAGTACGGCTAGCTTAGGTAAGTGTTTTACGGCGCTCGCAACTGCATAAAGGCATGATAAGGTCATTGAGCGTGCGGGACACATGAAACATTTTCAGTTGGTAGGACTTTTTAAAAATTTTGCCCGGGTGGCGGCCGAAGCCTACTCTTATCACTTTTAGACCACCAAGGGATCTTTAACGTGCGCACTTGCACATATATGGGAATGTGTACTTTGGCAGGATGGATAGTTGGTGGGTGCTGTGGTGTGTTTTGCCTCTTTCCCTATCAAACATCTATCATCCTTATCTTTCCTTCTTGTTTTCTTTGTATGCTGCTCTCTAGCACATACATGAGCTTTGTTGCAAGTGTTTTAAAATATTTAATAGAGCTAAAAAAATAAAACTTTTGCAGGTTCAGTTAAAGTGGACACTGACACATGCCAGGATCTGTTGGCAGTGGCAGATATGCTGGGCATAGAAGATGTCATCGACATTTGCTGTCAGTTCCTCATCGACAACATGTCTCCACACAACTGTGTTGGTATGTTCAATAAATTGTTATCTCTAGTAGGCAACTTCCAGTTGATTTTGGTGTGTTGTAATTCATAAAAATGCTTAACCGTGATCAACATATCCTGACATCTTAAGCAACGATATCTTGAAATTAACAAAACGAGGTCAGATCTTTGACATCAAATAGACACTCCACACAAGTAACACAAGTAAAAGTGCAAGCCTTTATATGACTCATTCAAATGGGGCTGCTAATTTGTAAGTTTCAATGTTGTTTAATATTTAAAATCTATGGACCTTTTCTCACATTTATTTATCTCTAAAAATGTCTTTAAAAATGATAATAAAAATGTAACTATGGTTTACTTTTTTTTCTCATTGATATTTCTTATATTAGTGTTAATGAAAAAATAGGTATCCTGAAAATCACTAAAACCTGATGTGCCAGCTCAAATCTTATTGCAGATGTGAAATCAGCAACCCCAAATTACTTAAATACTCACGCTCACAATGTATCACAGGTATCAGAAAAAAAAAGTTGAAATTTGTTTATTTATCAGTGTAATGTGACTGATTTCTTTTTTAATTGTTTTTTTTATTTTTCACAGGAATCTTTGCCTTTGCGGATGCTCACAATTTGATCAGTCTGAAGCACCAAGCAGAATTGTATTTGGAGAAAAATTTTGTTCAAGCCAGTCAGGAGGATGAGTTCAGCCATCTGGAATTGCAAAGTGTTTTGTCTATTTTAGGCAGTGAGCGTCTTCATATAGAACGTGAAAGCCAGGTGAGGGGTTTGTAAAGAGATATTTTTAAAGTTTATTGTGTTCTTATCATTGACGTTTTGTGTATAAGCCTATATCTTTCTGTTGCCTGGTGTTATGTTAATGAAAACCTTAGCATTTAAATGATATCAGGTAAAATGTTAATTAACTTGTAGCCTGAATGTTCTACAATCAATATTGGTAGCATAAGATTAATCGGTGTCTTATCTGTTTGTTTGCTTTGCTAAGATTTTTTTAAAAAGTGCCAATGTTTTTTTATATCTAGGCTGTCTTCGGGTTTTTTTGTGTGTAGATTTAGAGCAATGTTTTGTCTTGCGTCTAAAACATGGCAAGATGGCACACATATTAAATTTCCCTGTTTTATTGAATATATCAAGAAAGTGACTTTGAAGAGCAGAAACTCGATTTTCACCTCTGTATTTCTCAAGTCTGATTCTCTTTCCAAATGATTTTTTTTATCAAGACTTGATCAGTTCTTCAGTGTAAAAGTCTTTCAGACTTTTTCTTACTCTTTGTTTATATTGTGGACTTGCTTTCTGTGTGAACACTGCCCTGTGGCAGTTAACTATTAGTTCTATGTCTATGGTCATGAGGAAAGTGTTGAACTATGTGGCTTTTCTTTGTTCATCTGGGCTCATCTGCTAATGCACATCTACATTTGTCTGGCTGATATTACTGTTCCAAACTGTTAAGTTTGTTTTGAACAGGATTCACTTCCAGAAGATCAAAATTGAGAGTGCTGTCATCTTCGCTAATTGGAGGCCAAGTTCCCATACATTTTTAAGTCCTCTTTTCTGGCATTTTCTGTGTCTGTTAACCCTTTAAATGTGAACTGCATTTGACTTGAATTGCTGGATACATCATAAACACAAGGTGACTTTCTTAAATGACAAATGTTTTGCTTTCTCTCATTTTCATTTAATTAGATATCCAATAATGGGACTTAAAAATTCATTTCAGGTTCTTGAAGTTGCTGTGAATTGGATATTGTATGATCTTCCAAGCCGTCGAAAATTTCTCCTTCAAGTTCTGAACAAAGTCCGGATCAAGCTTGTCTCCCACAAACATCTCTTCCTCATCATAGACTCATGCGCTGACCATGGTGTGAAAATCACTCTCACCAAATTTGCATCAAGTTCAGAAAATGTGAAAAACCTAAATCCAAATGGGCTATATGTTCAGGTACCTGTGATGGACGTAATACAGTTTCCAAGGCAAAATGCGAAAAAGTACATCTATGTTGTTGGAGGATTCGCTCGCAACAAAAGAAGTTTTGTCAGCAGTATTAGTACATTAGATAGCATTGAGAGGTATGATATTTATTCCCGACGGTGGCAAGGCTTTAAAGGCATGTGTCACCCTCGGAGCAGTCACGGCCTGGCCGTGTTAGACAGGAAGATAGTCGTTGCTGGAGGGGAGGACGCGTCTCTCATCTCTGATTCTGTGGAGAGTTTTGATCCTGATGAGAACTACTGGACCCCTCTCCCCAGCATGAAGCACCCTCGCTATGGTCTGGGTCTGGTGTCTCTTGATGGGTGTATGTACGCAATAGGTGGCTACGTCGGCACCCAGATTGGTGGCACGGTGGAGAAGTATGATGACAAAGTGAGGACTTGGACTGTTGTGGACAGAATGCCGAATCCTAGGTTCTCCATGGCAACCGTGGAGTATGAAGGTAATTTGTGTTATCCTCCTTTTTCTAAAGTGACTATCATCTGCTATGTTTCTTTTGGAAGATTGGGTACTGTCGGATATTGTAACATTTTATAACAACATGTTTAATAACTGTAGCAGTATTTATCAGTGATCAAATGTTATTAAAAATGGTATGTTGTTTAAACAACTGTGGTCTGGAAAATCAAAAGAATGAACCTGCTCTTTGTTTATTTTGAAATGTCCTTTTGTGAAAAGAACATTTGTTCAGACTGGAAGAAAAATACTAATTGACCAACTTGCCAGATAAATTTGGTTGTTTGAAGGTGATGTCAGTTTTTACCTTGGATGCACTCGACTGAAAAATTTATGTTTTTGTAAAAAAAAAAAAATCTTTCCTCTTTTCTTCTGTGCGCTCAGCATTCTGATTGGTGGATGAAGTCATTCTCTTCATTGTTTGATAAGAAGAATGCTTTTCAAAGCAGTGTCAGAAGCTGCTTCAAAATAACAATGGTATAATAGTTTACGCTTCAGTGCATGCACATGTGTTTTCATACTGTTAACAGTAGATGTTAATAATGATTGTTTTGCAAAGTTTTGCTAGGATTGTGTTGAGGCTAAATTCTCCTGTATATGTATGGGGGAAACATGGACTACTGAGTGCCAACCTTCCTGTTCTAAGGATATGACTTCTAATCTTTCATGAAGCTTATAGATATTTTTTCTTTCTTGATACAGCTTTTCTAGGTTTATTGTTTAAAAAAAAATTGAATGCTTCCTGACATATGATTTTACTTTCCTGTCTCATCCAGGTTTGATTTATGTGGTGGGAGGACTGTCAGAGATGTACACTGAATCGGATGCAATGGAAAGTTACAATCCGGTGACCAAAGAGTGGTGTCCCTTGGCAAGGGTGAAAGTACCGAGAGCATATCATGGACTGGTAGCTGTTGATGGCTATCTGTACGCTGTCGGGGGCTTCAATGAGTACTCTGGATCTCTTCGTACTGTGGAAAAGTATTCCATACAAGACGTGAGTCAATTTGAGAACTGTCCTTGTTTTACTTTTTATCTCTTGTTCTTATTCTTCATCCTTCCAATCATTCTTTAAAAAATTTTTTTAACTTCATGTTGTTTGGTCTTGTGATTTTGAACACAAGGCATAGGAAAGGCGGGCAACATAAGAGAGAGTAAATCCATTCATATGAGGGTTTCGAGGTTTGGGATTTGATCTGTCCTTCTGTTTGATTTTGACATAATATTTTCAGAATAAACCCTTCTGCCTGTTGTTGTTTTTTTGTACGTGTCCCTTCTTTATGCCGGATGTTTATAAGTTAAATAGAAAATGTGTCAACCTGTGAGTAAATTGTTATGTCTTCTCAACCAGATGCACGCATACACACAAAAAGTTATATAGGCCATTCCCAAAGGGGGGACATTTCTCGTTTAAGCATAGTAGAATTGTAAATGGGCTGACTCATGTCACGCTCATAACTGTGCCTGATCTACAACAGGGAACTGCTGCTTTTTCTTTCCTGATCCTTACTATTGTCATTTTCCTCTACTTCTTTTGTATGTTTGTCACTCTCTTGTGGCCTGCTATTTCCGGGGTGCTTTGATAGTCGAAGCAGACCTTGTGCTGTTGAAGCTAGAGATGTGAGCAGTCTAAGTCTGATTCTCTGTTAAGACTTCTCTGTTGACACCCACCCCTTGTCGCTCATGTGATCTTATGCAGTTGCGAGTGCCGTTAAACCCTCTACTATAAAAAATATTTTAGAAAAGAAACCAACAAAAAAAAAATTTAAAATAGGAAAGTGATAACTGTTTGGATGTTTGATAATGATGATGATTAATTTCTATTAATATGATTTGATGGTACATATATACATAATATTTTATATCCATACCACTTCTTGCCATAGCATTCCCCTTTTTCTGATCTTTCCGATTTGTGTTTATTGCACCATTTAGCATTGTGACATAGATGTGCACACTTTGGTTACTATAGCTAGTGTAGTCATTAGTTCTAACATTATTTTCTGGTATGGTCCTGATGAAGTCCATGATTGGGCGAAATGTTGAACCTATATAAAATGTTCTTGGAAATTCTACAAGTCTCAACCCTTTTTTATTCTCTGCTGTTTACAATGATGACGATGATGATGATGATAAATAATTCTGTAACATTTAAGCCTCATCATTAGTGTACAGATGAGAACCAATCTCTGACCCCTCATTTATCTCCTTCTTGCAGAACGTGTGGACTCCGGTGGCCCCCATGGATATCAGCCGTGCCGGGGCAGGGATTGCTGTGGTCGATGGGAAGATCTATGTCTTCGGCGGTCGTTCTCAGGATGTGGAGCTCTCGGGGTCAAGCGGGTTCTGTGCCTCTGTCACACTGGACAGCGCTGAGTGTTATGACCCAGCCCGGGATCAATGGACCAACTTGCCAAAGATGGCTTTCGAACGTTGTGAGACTATGGCGGTGGTTTTATGACAGGACCTATTTATTGAGGAAGTCCTCTGTAAATGTCTTAGTTTGATTGAAAGGTACTTCACTTGCAATGACATCTTTCTGCTGGAGGATCTGATTCTGCCTCTCTACAGGCATTTGCTCTGTCTGTGTTACTTTCTGCTATCCAAGCAGCAGCTTCATTTTAAAATGACACCAATGCAACTGGCATACTTCATAACGTCTTGTGCTTACTGAAATTGCGATAGGAACTTCACAGAAGTTTCAAGACTCTCCAAAAATCCTGTTTTTTGGTAGGAACATCACTCGGATTTCTCTTTGGAATGCTCCTGAGTTGTTTTTTTTTCAAAGTTTGCATGTAGTGGCAGGTATGGCGTGTTCAGGGAAATGGATTGACATAGAGATTAGCACAGTTCAGCTTTGTTAGAGGGAGGTAGATTAAGTGAAGAACTTTATAAATTGGAGGGGCTGCTATTTATTTAGTTGAGATGTAGTTTCCGATAAGTCTGTGGTAGCAGTTACATTTACTATGGACAGATATTATTGACAATATTGCATCAAAGATGAGATGTAGCTGAAACCAACCTCGGCTGAGTGCTTGAGAGGCTTCCTATAGAATGCAGTAAAAGTAAATATACCCCCCCCCCCCCCCGCCATGCTTCATAGTGATCACAGCTCGCTGATTCTTGTTTCTGTGAGGTGTAAATTGTACCATATGCAGTAGATTTTTTTGGGAGGCACTATCAGATTTTCAACTCTTGATCTATCTTTATGACTTTGAAATTCTCTGTGACCTCTCCATCCAGACGGAATGTAGCGATGTGCTTTTGATTGCCTTGGTTCACTACAGACTACAGCTTAATTTGATGACCGTTCATCTATTTTGACTTGAGAATGACATCTTGACCGGCCTCTGTGGTGCAGTGGTTATGCTCTTGGCTCTTGCATGATGAAGACCCGAGTTCAACTTTTTTCTGTTTTTTTGAGTATCTCAGTCTTTCTGCTGGGATGCGGGATCCCTCTCAGCCTGGTTTGGGCCTGACAGGCTGGGTTGAAGACTGCTCACTAAGTAATCTTATTAATCATTTAATGGTTAATGGGGCATCATACTTCCACAATTACAATTACAAAGATGTCTTGAATCTGCACCCTTCCTATCAATATCGACAGATTTCCCCCAAATTAGAGAGCCTGTCAGGTCTGTTCAAAGGTAAGGCTGACATTTTGAAGGAACATACAGATTTTCCCAGGCTGGTCCTGGTCCGTATTGCCACATAGTCTGAAAAATCTGGTTCAAAGATGTTGAGCTGTAGTATACGATGTGTTCATTGTGATCAGAGAATGGCCACACTTCGTCAGAACGTCTGAGAATTTCAGGTATGAATGGCGATTTATATATATTAAAGGAGGTTTCGTTTAACATTCTATACTCTACTCCATTAAAAAACGCTTCACTTTTCAAATGCACCTCCTAGCATTTCACAAATCATGTGTTTGAAGAAAAGCTTTAGTTTATTTAGTTTTTTTGTGTCTTTTTGCAATAAATCAACCGGAATTGCTCTGTATATTTCCACTTAACTATAAATGTAATAGCATACCACCGAGAACTATTCCAGGTCTTACTCTATCTATGTGATGGCGAACTCTGACTACCATTGTGAAACAAAGAGGCTTTACTTGTTACTGTGCTTTTTATTGATGAGGGTATGTTGAACATTGCACGACACAAACAAATGGAGTTTGAGTTAGACCAAATATATCCTCACACCTCTGTGTAAACCCAAGTTTTTATTCAAGCTATTAAGTTTTCATGACAAGTGCATATATATTTAAGTGAGGCGTTTTTATTGGAGTTGGGTATAAATGTTTAAATTTGTCATGTCTCAAAACAAAGTGAATTATTAATGCATATGAAGTTGATGCTTGTGTATATGTTCATGCTTTTCTCTTTATGTGTATGTGTGTGTGTGTGTGTGTGTATGTGTGTGTGTGTGTGTGTGTGTATGTTTGTGCATGTGCGTGCATATGTATGAAGGTTTATATGTATCTTTGACTCAAATCGCAGAATTACACGCAATGAAGTGAAATGTTCGGAAAGACTACTCCTCATAATTAATTTGATTCCACGTCTTTGCTTCATTGCGAGAAACTTAGCTCAAACTATCACAGGAATCAGACGTTTTGGTTACTAATGCTGAAATGTTTTTCTTCTCTGTTAACAGTGCAGATTTTTCTGTTTATGAATAGGTCTCGTGGAATAAATACAGAGTTTTCATGGTCGTTTTTCTTATTTTTCCTTTGCGTCTGCAATATTAGCCTGTAGTTTTGTTTTTGTAGCCTATATGGAGGACCAAGTGTTTGCCTTTGATATAAGTGTCAAGTTGGTTTGTGAACTCAAGATATTTTATGAAATGATATTGAATTGAGTTACACTTTTTGAAAAAAACTTGTCTGAGTTCAGGGTTTGAGAGACAACTGCCAAGAAAATTTTTCTCCATATATTTTCCTGTAGTTTGTGATTCACTATTAAAAATTTTTTTTCGATTTAAGAAAGGATTTTCCCCTTGCATTTTCTTCTCACCCATGACTGTTCTATTTATTTTCTCATTTCTATTTGCATTGGAATGACTGGTTTCAGCTGATATATTACCAATGATAGAATTGCTTTTCCATTCCTTGCTGTTGTAGCATAAGAATACTGCTTGGGATTTCTTTTCTCTGTTTTATTCTTGTCTTTCACGATGTGCTCAACATCAGTCCTCAAGGCCCCTTAAGGCCAGGTGCTTTCTTCACAGTGAAAACTCATACTGTAGTTGCTGAATTGGGAGAAACATATTTATTAGATACCATCGTAACAGAGACTAAGAACAGCACTGGTTACTCTGTGATGGTCTATGCCATATATTACGTATACTTCTTCTGTGATAAGTTGTTGAATCCACATGTTCCATGAGCACATTGTCCTACCCACTGACTTTTTTGTTTCACAAATGTTACTCATTATAATGTCAACAAGTAATGTTCCTCAAATTTTCTGTTCTGGTAGGCAATGATTTCAATTTGTTTTTTGTGAGTCCAAGTATTGCTTTTATCTACCAGTTCAATTTCGTTTTGCTACAGTTTGTTTGTAAGCATGTACTTGTTGTATTGAGCTGATGATTGTAGTAGAAAAGCTCAAGTGTTGTCTCTGAACCTTCACAATTTGTTTTTGGTATTTAGAGTATGTCAGTAGATACTGAACATTCAAAGTATTCGAAGATTGGATGTCCATCTGATTGCAGTTTACCTAGAGGGATGTAGCAATGTACATGGTACATATCTGTTGGAATTGAAAGATGAAAAGTGTTAAAAAGAGAGCTTTTTTTCAACAGAAAGTTAGAAGTTCCCGTGGAGAATTGAATTAACACTAGGAATAGGAAATGTCATGAAAAGCAGGACAAGTAATTATAATACAAATTTTATTTGTTCCCCTTTCTGGTCATTACTCAGCTAATAAATACATGTTAAAGGATAATGATGGGAAATCATTTTTTATATTTCTTTCTGTAGCTGAAAGCTACGATGCATGTGCCTGGAAGTGTTGGTTCTTACCATGAAATGTTACTGGGACTGGGTCCTATAAGATTGAAGGGCTTGAAGTTTTATACAGTAGTTTTAAGAACAGCTGTATCCTTTGTCTTGGCGTGCCAAGGGAGTTTAATATGAAGCAAAGTTCTATGTAAAGTGCCTTTCTCCCAAGACATGTCTTCAGATAATATATATAGGTCTGTAAGTGCGGCTAGGAATTGAACCCACAGCCTCTGGTTGGCCAGCTTGGCAGCTTATATCTTCTTACAGCACAATGTAATGCGATGACCTTGATGCTGGTGAAAACAGTGTGTTTGTTGCAATAGCAGAGGAAGTCAGCAGTGAGTCACTGTTCTGTGTGGTGGAGAATTTATGAAGGAATAAATATTCCCTGATGTCTAATTGCAAGGTTCTTTGCCTTGTTGCAATCACAGATGCGAGTTTGATTCTTGCAAGAGGAAACTATTTTATTTATCGTCTTTGTCTTGTACTTGTAAGATGTACCTGACAGCAAGGTTCTACATGGCCCTGCCGGTCACTGTCAGGGTTGAAATAGCCTACAGCACAAACAATCTTAATTTCGTAAGTGGGGCAGTCTACATTTACAGCTTGTAAAAAAACCACATTTTTTCTCAGTCTTTACATGCTTTCATACATTTGTCATGAAGAACATATGCTCTAAATATCAGATGAATGCCATGACAACTGCTCAAAAAAAAAGATGCTTTTGAATTATGGTCTTGTGGAGAGTAGAGCGGAATACCATCATCTTGAGCGACTTCGTGAGCTTGAAATTGGTTGGGGCGCCTGCAGAAGTTCAAGACTTAGTGGGAGGAGCAGAAGGCTATGGAATCAACCATTGCTTGGAACCGTCAGCATCTACACACTTCGAGATGTGCTTCTTCAGGGGATGGAGCACTTATGGGAATGCCTCTTGTGCAGTGATGTCGGTCCTTCACACAAGTAACAAGTAACAAGAGGGGAGAAGCAGTTGGGGGGGCGGGGACTCTCTGTTTTGTCTTTTTTCATACATACTTTGATTTGTTAGTTGCCTACTCTCTTGAAAATTTGGTTATATTTTGCAAGGGTACATGTAATGGAAGATGATCAAACTCAAAAAGTCAATTGTAATGACTCACAAGCTGACGTAATTGTTTTTGATTCGCTAATTTGTTTTCAGTGTTTTCATAGTCAGCTGATTTAGGATTCAAAATGAAAAGAAGAATCTCACCCTCAGTTCCTGTGCTATGCACATCTTTCTGTTGTATTGAGGCCCCCCCCACCCCCCCCCCCCACCCCATTCCACAACCACTTTATTGTGTCGATGGGGATGTAAAACACTTACTTTGGATAATAAATTAATGTCCTCCATGGGACACACAGCATTACAGTAGTATGTAACACATATCACTATCATTCACATACATGTATTTCCTTGCCTCCATTTGTCAAATATATATTTAAGTGTAGCAAGGTTAACTGAGGAAGACTACCACAAACTCCCGATACGCCGCCCCAACCCTACAGTGATTGTCATGTGTCTTCTACCAGCGTAGTGTCTTATATTATTTATTGTGTTACTTCTACACTGTATAAATGTAGTCGTATCCTCTGCGGATGTATGGGTAGTAAGTATCATTTACATGGATATATTGCATAGATTTTTACAAGCTCTGAGGCCAGTTGTCATTCTGCCCTTTACATGACATGTGTGCCTACATTCAAATGGGGCACTCACGTGATAACTGTTATGTATGCTCGACAGAAATTGTTAAATTGTTAAAAATCTTTTTATGCATTTTTTAAAATGTTGGAACAAGTGGCCACTTGATGCAGTTTGAAGAACCAAGGAAAATGCATGAGGAACACTTACTTGTTCCCAACTTAAAGGGATGCCTACTATGGCCTATATTTCTTACTCCGCAGAAACAAACAGTAAAGTGCTGACATTTCATGTTAAAGTGCTGACATTTCATGTTAAAGTGCTTGAAGTATTTAGTTTGTAGTCATGGATTCACATGGACAGAAGGTTCTCATGACGTAACGATAAGTCCCTTAGCATGATTTCATTGCAACTTACTTTCTCAGTTCAGTCTTCAATGACTAGAATCTGTGGTGTAGCAGTTAAGCACTTTATTGTATCGATAGGGATGTAAAAACACCTACTTTAGATAATAATGTCCTCCATGGGACACACTGTAGCTGATAACACATATCACTATCATTCACATACATGTATTTCTTTGCCACATAAGTGTAGCAAGGTTAACTGAGGAAGACTTGTTTTCTTTAGTTGCTTGTCCATCTGAAGTGTTTCTTCTAGATGCGAACATCCCCCCTATTATGTGGTTGCTTCATTTTTCATTGCTTTCTTCAACTTAAAGTTGCAGTTGTATGTGTAGGTGGCATCAGTGGGCTAGTGGTTAGGCTCATGGACTCTCAACCTCTAAGGTTGTTGGTTCAAATCCCTTCAGGGGCCTGACATTGTGTCCTTTGGTATGATGCTCGACACTAATTTGTCTCGCTTCACCCATGTGAGAATGGGTACCTGACGGGCTATAGACAGTGAAAGATCTAGTCAGTTTGTTAGTGTTTTAGCAAATATAATCTGCAGCTTGAACTTTCTGCTTCCTGGGAATCCGAGAACGTTTAGAATTTCTAGAGTCTGCTGGGGTAACAATTGTTTAACAATAGTAAAGCCCATAGAGTATGCATTGGAGTGTTGATATGTGCTCTATATATAATACCATCATTATTACTGATATTATTATTATCATTATTATTGTAATTTATTATTATTATTATTATTATTATTATTATAATGATAACAAAAATATTATTATGTAGCCTAGTCAAAGTTTTCAAGTTGCTTTGAGTTTTTATGCAGAACTGCGCAACAATAAAAGCTGATCCAGCACTGGGTAGAATGGTTTTGAAGGGAGAGGTTTCATGTATGTTGCTTGATCTATGGCACCACCAAACAACATTTAACAACCACCCCTCTCGTCCTTTATTATTTATTTAGCCAAAATGCAATGTGAAGGCTATGTTTTTCCCCTGGGTTTCTCAGGTTTTGCATTTCTTTAATGTCAGAAGAGCTTTGTGTAGAATAGTTATGAGTACTTTGACGCGGAATTTTATTTTCTCACACCTGTTAAGAGTACCTGTTGCTGAATTTGATAGCCCGTAGGTTTTGTATTTTGTCCAACATATGATTTAAGATTTTTGTCTAATATTTCATGATGTATGAAAAAAGAATTAACTACAAATGGTGTATGGTTTTCTTTTGCTTGTTTGTGCGATAAGTACCAGTTTCTTTGTGAGGTTATTTGAATGCATTTTTTTCTGAAAGAAGCTTTACCCACATGGGTACATTAAATTTGGAATTTTTACCATGTTTGTGCTTTGTCTGCATAGTTTGTGTAGCATAATCTTTTAAAATAAGGTAGCTTGAAAGATTTTTAAATCTCAGTGCGTGCCAGTTTAGGACTCGTCAAACTCTTCGAACCAATGAGACTTCAGCTTTCAAAGTAAGCCCTGACATTGACAGGCAGGATCAAAGCAGCCCACTTGCTGATTGACCTTACTTGTGTCATGGGGACTAGGTGTGTGTGTGTGTGTGTGTGTGTATGTGTGTGTGTGTATGTGTGTGTGTTTATATGTGTGTGTATGTATGTGTGTGTGTGTGTGTGTGTATGTGTGTGTGTGTGTGTGCATGTGTGTGTGTGTGTTTGT